GGGGCAGGTGCACAGTGCACCCAAAGAACCACACTTGAGAGCCCCGGAGAGAAGAGAGAAATGTCCCTCATTTAGGAAGTAGTAAGGGAGAGGGTGAGTGTGATAATTTAGAGACTAACACAGATACCAGGAACTGGGAGGTCTTCGGGCAAGATAAAAAAAAAAAATCATGGTGTGGTTTCCCTTCGGGGATTGGCAGGTCCCATACCCTACTTCTAGGTGCACTCCAACCAGTACCAACCCTCCTACCCTGATTACCTTCACCATCCTGAGGGCCTAGATACAAGCTAACAACAAATGACCCCACCTATTGGATGAGAAGGGAAGCAGGAAAGATACTGATCTCCAAACCAAAACAATCCCTGTTTCTTCCTTCAAGATTTTTTTTTCCTTCTCCCTCTCTATTCTCCCACCCTCACATCCCCAACATATGTGAAACCAAGTACAGTATTTTGAGGACTGGCACATCTGAATACTATATTATAGTTGTGTTGTATATATATATTTTTCTTTTTCCACAAATATTTACTTGTTAAAATAGTATTTTTATTTTTCTTAATACATCTGATTGTTTTATGTACTCTACTGTCTTCCCACTTACTTGTCTACCCCAAATTACTTCCTCTCACTTCTCCTGCTACTAATCTTCCTCTTTAGATTTTTCTTTCACACTTCCTAAGATATAACAACTCTGTATCCTCACCTCCTACCTCCTCAGCATATCTTCCTACTCCTCACCCCTGCTTTTTGTCCACCATTAGAAACTATAAACTCTTACACAAACCTACTGAGTATACTGTAGATAATAATTGAATGCACCATTTCTGAATATTGTGACCAAACTGTAAATGTCTTAATAGCAAATATTTGTTTGTAGGGTGTATATATTGTTTATACTGGGATCTGTTAACATTGTCCTACACCTCAAAGGAGAGGTATTGGAACCCTATAGGGGCACTATAAGCCTATAGAGTAAAAATGGTAACTCCTCAGATCCACAGTGCTAGAAGGGAAGACACACAAGCAATATGAAAAGACAATGGAAGAAAGTACCCCAAACAAATCAAGATACCACATTATTAGAATCCATGGCAAGCACAGCAGAAGAAATGACAGAGAAGGAGCTCAGGGTGTACATAATTAAAATGTTCTGTGAATTAAAGGATGATATAAGAGACCAAATACAGGCAGCAAAAGATCATTTTGACAAAGAGCTACATAAACATATACAGGAAGCAAAAGATAACTTCAATAGGGAGATAGAAGTTCTAACAAACAAACAAACAGAAATCCCTGAAAGAAACAATAAACCAAATTAAAAGTTCAATTGGAAGCGTTACCAACAGAAGAGAGCACTTGGAAGACAAGACCTGAATGACAGATGAATGAAGACAATGAAGAGAAAAAATAATCTTGAAAAGAAGTAGACCACACAGAGAAAATGGTAAGAAACCATGAGCAGAACATTCAAGAAATATTGGATAGCATGAAAAGACCAAATTAAAGAGATATTGGGATAGAGGAAGGCATAGAGTTCCAAACCAAAGGAATGAGCAATCCATTCAATGAAATAATATCAGAAAATTTTCCAAACTTGAAGAATGAATTGGAAAACCAAATTCAAGAGGCTTACAGGATGCCAAATGTATAAAATCACAACAGATCCACACCAAGGAATATATAATGAAAATGCCAAAACATACAGAATAAGGAGAGAATATTAAACACCATGAGAGAAAGGAATCAGATTACATATGGGGGAAACCAATTAGATTATGTGCAGATTTTTCAACCCAGATCCTGAAAGCTAGAAGATCCTGGAACAACATATATCAAGTTCTGAAAGAAAATGGATGCCAACCAAGAACCTTATATCAAGCAAAATTAAGCTTTATATTTGATGATGAAATAAAAATCTTC